TTTGACAATTCTGATTATAGGTTGGGTTGGGAAATGGCGGTTCTGCAGATATTGTCAAATCACAACTCCTGGCATGTCTCAACATTGATTATGCTGGCTGAGGATGCTGAGGGTTGTAGCTGAGCAACATTGCCCTTGCTTCTAGACCAGGCAGTGTAGGTTGTGTGGCCCACCAAAAGAAAAAAGAAAACAGGAGCTTCTTTGAGACTCACCATTGCCTTTTCTATTTAGCGTGTAGCTATTTCACAACTCTAGGATAGTTTTAACGAATAACTTCCTGCTCATCATGAATATCTTCATGAGGCCCATATTAACACACTGTGGAACACACAAGCCAGGGTTGCTAGCATTCTAAGCAACATTGCTGACACCAGCAAGTTAGCAGACATTTGACCTAATGTTGGTGACTCCTGCCTCAATCTCAGGGCTCCAGACAGTTGCACAGGTTGTCCATCTCTAGTTTTGAGCTATGCTGCAATAGAGAGACTTACGTCACCTCTCCCCTGCTTTAATTCCATGGAGTTATAACACTTATCTCTTTTGAGGATGAATAGATGCAAATGGTCATAGAAAACAATGCACACTTTAAAATCCATGATCACCTGTACAGTACAGAGAAAACAACACATGCAAAGAAGCTTTCAATGGCAAGCAGTGCATGGCACAGATAATCCATCATCAACATCTTTTGTTTTCTAACTTCAAAGAGCCAATGATGGAAACAGGATGCTCATTTGGTAAAGGAAGCATTGCTTTGGGTAAGGATGTTTAATTTTGTATCCCTCTTGCTCCAGAGCCAATACCAGCTGGGGGTGGGGGCAGTTTAGATTGGGAAAATGACTTCTACAAATCAAATAAGCAGACCTTTGAAGATGCTTTGAAGTAAAGGGACAGGGAGAATGTAGCAAGATTTAATTAGATATCCCATCATGGTTTCCTTGGCTCAAAGACAGCAGTAGTGAAAAGGTTAATAGCCATTCTAGCTGAAAAGAACTTTTCAGAATGCAGCACTGTAAATAATTATTTGGTAACCAATCTCTGAGAAAAAGGAAATGGGAACATGGCAAAGAAAAAGAAAAAAGCCGCTGCAGCTCAGAGAGGTCACTGAAGCACATGAGAGAGGGAATCACCTCATTTTCATAGTCTGTGAAAGGACTGACCTAACACATGGAGTAAATTTCCGCTAGAGCATCACTTCAGCTGCTAAAGCTCACTTGATCCCTTCAGGGATTGCCTGCTGCTTAAAGAAAATGTCCAAATCGCTGCCTTCTCAGCTTGACTGTAAATGAGAAACAACCAGTGTAAGAAGGTCTGCCACCTGAAAATGCTGGGCAATCTGCTTGTTGCACAATCATGTAATGTGCGATAGCTGCTACCGTCCCAAAGAAATACACTTTGCAAAAGGAAAGGCACCTTCTTCTCTGGGTATGAAGGCAGAGTTGGGAAAAGCTTCTTCTGAAAGGGCCGCTGTGTAAGTGGGAGAAAGTGACTGTCACCAGCGTGTTTCAAAAAAAGACAAATGGCATTAAGGGACCTTCTGTGGACCAACTTGAATGTTCATCTCTGGATCAGAGACTTGTCTCCCTCAGGAAGTGCCTGAAAGAGTCTCTCTAGAGCTAAAGCTAGTTCCCATCTGCAAAAATAAAACAAATCAGAGTAAAACTGTATGTCCTGGGCCTGCAGTGAAAAAAATAACATCATTAATTGTGTGGTATGTGAGGAGGAGGTGTTTAGGAATTCCAAACCTGGGAACATAACAATCTTTCCAATAGTACTGGAAGGAAAGGAAGGAAATGAGTCTACTTTTAATCATTGCCTGACTTGGTGGTGAGCTTCCTGACATCTCTTCCTGCTGGTACTCTCCAAGAATTGCAGGAAATTAAGCATCTACTGTGGAAAGAAGAAAAAGAAACCCCACTGCACTTAGTGAATAAGTTGTAAACATCTCCACCCTGGAGAGGGAACACTTGGTGTTGCTGAGAAAATGACAAGTGAGATTATTTTAGTAACAGTTCTCACAGCAGAAATATCTGATTCCCACACTGAAAATTCCAGTTGCTTTAGTCAAGAGAAATAAAGTAAAATAGACATTTGAAGATACGGCAGGGTGAACATCATGATGATGATGGATAGTAAGGCAGTAGAAACAGAGGTGTTTTAAAAAAAAAAGCTTTATCACATATGGGGTGATTTTGCACTAAACTGATATTTTTTACAGCTTAGTCACTCACTTTAACAATCTACTACATGAGAAGTGAGCTTTGCACAAAGTCTGGAAAAATTACTCCATACATCTTTTTTTTAAATTCAGCCTCTCCCAATCTCTTTTCAATTTTAAAAATGTCTAAAAATACTGCTTCAGTAATCACTGCTGGGTATTTATGGAAATTGTCTAACACATCTAAAGGTGTAGAGGAGTATGGAGAAATCATTGAGGAAGATATGTGGCAGCCATTAAGAAAACATGAACGTAGCCCAGAAAACAGGAAGGCGTGAGGAAGAAACTCAAGATAGGTGTGCCTTGACCTTTTTTAGTGTAAGAAAAAGGGAAAGAGAAACACTGTCAGGCTATCAAGATTCTGTTATTATAGCCCCATGTCAGCAAAGTAGAGCTCTGTGGTGTCTGTCTCTTGACCTGGTCTGTCTTGAAGGGTTGACCAAGGATTGTGGTTCTGTAGCCCTGCAGCCACTATCTTTTGCCCTGGGGTATTTGTGAGGAGAAGGGATCAAAAAAGTCAAGATGCAGCTGCAACTATGTGATCAAAGACCCACGATGCAGGTAAAAAGGGGTTAGGACTCTGATTGCAGAGTTATGGATGCCATTTTAACTGCTCTCCCCCCAGCCCCGGACACCTTTGTTTAAATTTTCCTACTCTGTCTTCTGTTCCTTTAAATTATTCTGCACAGAAAGATGGCACTTGCATTTATGAATTGAAAATTACTAAGGGCCACAGAAGAAGAGGCTAGAATAATGTAAATGCCAAAATCTAAATTATATAAAGCGAATATTCTGCCTGGGAGCCGTGATCAAGCTTTATCCAATGAAGGAGCTTAATTTAACATGACAAGCAAAGAAGCTTCTCAAGCAGCAATAAGCCAAAAATAGAGCAAGTATTACTGTTGAACTACAAGATGAAGCATCAGAGTTGTTTTCTGATCTGAACTGCATTCACTGCTATTCTTCTGCCACAGGAAGCTCTCTTTTTCTATGCACAGCTACACTACTTCCTGAATTATGCCACCCCGATAAGATTCCACTGTGAGAAGAAGAGGTGAACATCTAGCAGCTAAAGGAGGGTGTATACTGGATTTAGTGAAGACCTATAGCTCTATCATACTTGTAACTTTTCAAGGACCAATGAGCCTAGAGTCGTTCCCAAACTGTAACTCGAATTAGACACATTAAGTACATTGCTAGAAACACCCCATTCCTGAAGTTGGCTCTAAGGATAGTAAGTGAATGGCTTACTTAGTGAATACAGTGTTGTGGATTTCCAGGGAGCAAGTGGCACAGTTCACCTCACCCACAGATACAGCAACCTACTCTCCAGAATAGACCTATGACTGAAACCAAGAGTGAGATGAACCCTTGAAAACAGGCAAATATCTGTGCCGGTGAACACATGCCAGAAGCCTTGTTTTTTTAAAGCTGTAGAAGGCTGAGCAGAAGCAACCCACAGGCAGCACAGGACAGGTCTGTTAGATAGCAAAGGCAGAGAGCAGGCAAGCTGGTCAACTGCTTCATCACTTCACCCTATGAAGGGAGCCATACTGTGCAAGGAGGAAGGAGGCTGTGTTTCTTGCTTTTGGGAACTCTCTTTGTCAACCTCCATTTTTGGTCTGTCAAGAAACATGCCTGATTATGGGGCTGAAAAAAATCCTGAAACAATTCCTTTCATACTCATATAGCTATGGGTGTTGTCCAAATGAAACATTATGCAGGGAATCTTCTATTAAAGAATGAGATGATGATGCTCTTATACCTCCTGTTTATCAATAAAATTACAAAGATGAAGTGCTCTGCTATTGTTGAAAGAAAATCAAAGGGGTTCGGGAAAGACTATTGAAATGTGTGAGAAAAGGTGTTGTACATTCATGGATGCTTTCAACCAAATCAGTATCTGAAGCAAATCTAGTATGTTCCTCAAGGAAGGAATCTAAGGATTCTGAGAGAAGCTAAACAAGGTTTGACTGTAACCACTAAACCTTTTCAGAAGGTTTAGGTAAATCAATCTATTTCTTGTTTGGAATGTTCTTATTTATTTGTAAGTCTATTCCCTTTCCTTCTATATTATAATATAAGCCCATCCCGAGAGAGAAGAATAGGAACTTTGCCCTAGTGGAAAACTACATGCTACAGCCTTCTATACCCTCTAATACTGTTTATGGAAGTTGGGAGTCATTCTGTAATATGAGAGTGTTTGAGCAGAAGGGGTGTTGCACCACAGTATGTGCTTGAATGGAAGAGCATCTATTAACCTGAGGTTTGTCTGATGTAGAAAGAAGCACTTTTTACTTGTGGAAGTAACTATTGGATGCAACCCAGAAGATTTTGCTTCCCCACTGTTATGAATTAGCTCAGAGATACAACCCTGTTTTTGTCTTTATTTTAGAAAGTTTTCTCTATGCTTCAACAAAAATAGCCAGGATGCCTCGAACCATTTTCAGGCCAAACACATTCTACTTTTTATTACACATATTACATTCTTAAATAAAAATGCGTCACATAACTTTTTTTTTTTTTGCATAGATATCTTACAATATACCAATTTAAAAAAGAATTATGAAACAGACCAGTAACAAAAATAAATCTTCTTCTTCATTAATAATCTTGTAACATTAACATACCACCATCATATAATACAAATAATATTTTTAAATCTTAAGACTTTTGTACAGCCAAAAAAATGGACAAAGTAATATATTCATATATTTATATTTATATTTATATATATATATTTATATATATAAAAAGCTTAAAAAAAATAAAATGTCAACCAAAAAAGGGAGAACGGAGGGCTACCATTTTGGGTACTTCTGTGATATACTAGAGCAGTGTTTCTCAACCTTGGCAACTTTAAGATGTGTGGACTTCAACTCCCACAATTTCCCAGCCAGCAAGGGGGAATTTGGGAGTGGAAGTCCACTCATCTTAAAGTTGCCAAGGCTGAGAAACACCGTACTAGAAATACCTGAGAGAACGAGGCTGAAGGTTCCTCCAAATGCACTTGGCAGACACATCTGGTGAAAGAAAAGCTGTAGTGCAAAAAGAAAGTCCTTCAAGAGTTGTTGGTGGTTACACAGGTATTATTTTAAAAGACTGAGTTTGTATGTATGTGTATGTGTGTGTGTGTGTGTGAATACATACACACGCACGCACACACACACACACAAATGAAAAAAAGGATCTGGTGAATTTGTAACAAATACACCAATCCTTTACTTCCATATGCAATATTCAGTGTACCCATTGTCTAAATTCTGACATGCTTTTTCCTTGATACAACTTTAGAAAAATTAAAAGAAGGGGAGTGTTTCGAGAGAGCAGTTTCTCCTACCATGCTCCTGGAACCTCTCTGCAAGGGTTCCAGTTCTGGAGGTAATTAATGCTGTTCATATATGTCATCAGTCTTTAAGTCAAGACCAGAATCACTGTAGAATCAGCTGCTTGGAGAAAAAAAGGGGGATCTTTCTAACCGTATGCTGAATTCATGATGAATGTGTGCTACAGCAGGTTGAGCACATTATGTGTGAAGGGAGGAAGAACCACCAATACACGAAACCCAATGCCTCCTTATAGTATAAACTATGGCAGGAAAACTGGCTGGAGGCGGGGGCTTTGAGATCTTTGGACTGATGCAACAGAAGTTAATCCTGATCATGAGACAATTTTACAAGCATTGTAACTAATCAGGGGCAAAGACCTGCTCATCTACTTTGTTATTCACTTGGGATTTTGTCCTGAACTTTCTTAGACCACCAATTAGTTTTCTGTTTTGTTTTGCAGAACAGTAGAGAAGGAGGGATGTAAGTTTAATACAATCCCACTTGCTAATTGCATCCCTTCCCCAATAAAATTTAGGAGGGAGCTGGCACTGAGAGCTACTTCTGGGAAGGGTTACTGCAGACAACAGGATGTCTTACCTGAGAGACGCCTGACCTCTTAAACATGTTCTCAAACTGTATATTTTGCTGGAATCCCAGGTTCAGTGCCTCCCAGTTCAATGCATCAAGTCTCTGCATGGTTCCTCCCTGTCAAAAATACATCCTTCACAAGAATAAGCTTGCTTTAGAAGCAGCAAATGACCTGATTGTGCAGACTGGCAATAAAGCCCACCCAAATTTGGGAGGGCTTTGGCTAAGCTCAGATTGGGGTGAGATTCCACCTTTTCCTTCCCAATTCAGACTCTGACTTCTGATTGATTTGCAGTTTTCCCCACATATCTCATGAGTGTGTGGAAAAAAGGGCAACTGCTTGACCAGCTGAGCAAGACATCTAAACATTTATTGTTCACTTTATCCGGTTTGTGTACAACAGTCAGCAGAAGAGCTTATGAATCTGGTAAGGGCCATCCTTAGGCACCTTGTGAGGAAGAGGCAGACCCTGGCATGTGCATGACTCTGGACTGGGGACAGTATTTCTCCCCACCAAGGATGAAATATTAACTTGTCCATTCTATGCACAGAAATGTTATTTATTTGTTATAACCTTTCCATATAAGCATTTGTGCAGCCAGGCTTCTAGCCTTGTCCTATTGCCCTCAAAGTATGTGGCATCCATGGAACTGGCAGCCAGATAAAGGGCATAAACCCAACTCTGATGCAGAACTCCTCCAAGTGCAGATGAATCCTGAACAAACCGTATGTGAGTAGAGCCCCAACACATTCCCATTGGAAGCATAACTCTAAGAGAAAAGGGGCAGAGAGGGCAACACAGGGCATATCCCACAAGGAAGGAGTTGGGATGAAAACAATTCTGCTACTACCTTGTACAGTTTTTCAAGGATCTCTGCTCAAACAAGATTTGTGGTATTCTATAGTGTTTCAAAAAAACTCAAATATTCTCTTTACACAGTGCTAATTTTGGAACAAAACACTGTTTTCAATATGGTATGATTATAGTATTCTCAATTTGTTGAAAAGGTCTTTACTATGTATTTACTTACAGTGTTCATGTGCTGTTTACTTTTTCTTAGAACAGAGCAACTTCACACAAATTTCCTTATATCTGTGGAACTAAAAAAAATTAAAAATAATACAATGCCTATCATGTAGTGAAGGATCAATAACAAATTAGTGTTTAAAACCAGTCTTACAATTTTTGGTGTTCGGGGATTAGCAAACACAGAGCTCAGAAATGCACAAAATACAGATAACAATATACTGGAATATGAATGAATGAATATATATTCTGGTCTGACCGTATGGCCTTCCAGGGAACCATTTATTTAACTTAGCCAAAAGAAATAGTAACACAATAAATGAAAACATTAAGGGACAGATGTGTAAAAATTTTACTTTCAGGAATGTCTTTCCACATGGACCTAACAACCATGCAGATTTATTTATGCAGGTAACAGTCTGTCATGTAGGAATTAAAAAAAAAAGTGTCCAAGAAATTGTATGCTATATTGATAGCTGATTTTTGTACACTACAGTCCCAGGAGACAGATCTATTTAATGTCACTTCCCTCCATGTGACATAAAACTCAGGGTACTCTTGTAAATACTTTTCTTCCCCAGTTTTCACTCTATTCTCTCATGGTATACAATAAAGATACCCAGAGGCAAAATTGTTCCCAATAAGCCAACATTCTTTTAAAACTGTCAGTAGTAAGGGCCCTCACCAAATGAGACAGAAATAGGGACTGTTGATTACTACACCAAACAGAGTTGGATTTCAGTTCATCTACATGGGGTTATTTTAGTCCAGATACTTTAGCACATGTACAGATACACAGAACAAGGGAGTGTATGCCTGCAATTTGGCCTTATGCCCAATCAACAAATAAAAATATAAACATAGGTTAATTTAAAAATATGAGTAGGCCAACTTTAATTTTCAAAATCCAAGAGTATTTTAGTATGCTTTTGAAATTACAGCAGGTTAATACATTCTTGATACATTTCCCCTATTGTTCGAGGGCTTTTAAGAAAAATGAAGCATTGCTCTATCCCCACTGAGAGAGAGATCCTTGTTGCTGAAAGGTGTTGGGGGTCAAATCTTGCCATTTCTCTGAAGAGAGCCACTATGGTATCTTATCTTAGCAAGGAAAGGCAAAATCCTTAACTCACACATACACATACACACATAACCACACACACCCCTCCACTAAATGTTGTTTAAAAAGAAAACAGAGCTTTCTTTTGAACCTGTTTATCATGGGGTCTATCAGAAATGAGTAGTACAAATTAGCATATAGAGTATGCCATGCAATTAACAGATTCTAAATTTTCCGGAGTATATTGTAAACTGGCACAGTGAAAACAGGATGCAGCACACGGCTGCTGCTGAAGCCACGAGAATACTGCTCAAAGGCAGGGCTGCCTCCTATTACATCTGGCCTTTGCCTGCATTTTCTATCCAAGCTTCCTTATACGAGACTAGGAAATTAGGTACGGCCTCCTGCCTTGCCATTTCCTCTCCTTGGGAGCATTCGTAAAGGCTGGGTTGTAGAAGCTAGCCATCACTGCTATGTTAAGAAATCCTTTTACAGGGATGGTAAAAGCCAAGATAAGGTGTGATAAATGGCGTAATTAAGTTCTTGAAATATTTACACTCTCTCTCTCAATTTCTGTTGGATTCGTAATAGAAATACAGAACCCACTAAAAACATTAATCATTTTTGGTATGGCACAACCATTGCACGTGATTTTCTTTTGATAAGCAGTCAGAAGAAAATCTCAAGAACAAATTACCATTTGTGTTTGCATTTCCTAAGGCTCTTTGTCCAGAATCATGTCTCCTCCTCCCTACCCCCCCTGCCCCGGTTCTGTGAGGCTGTCAGTATAATTAGGATTGCAGACAGATCCTATCACTGTCAGTGGATGAGGGGGTTCACTGGGAAGTAAGAGGCTCCCCCTGCCAAGTGCTATCAGCCTTACAGGCAAACATTGCAAAATAGGGGCAGAGGCCAATGGCTAAGTTGTGATTGATTTGCTGCACCAAGTTATAGGCTACTTACTTATTTACTTGTTTGTTTGTTTATTTGGTACTGCTGGCCAGTTAATAGCCATATAGTCTGCAGTGGGAACACAGCAGCCTCATGCCTTCGCTATGAATAGCTTCTCTTCCTGGTTCATCATCTCACAGGCTGAGAGCAGATCCCTTCCACATTTACTCAGGGACAGGCCATCTGATGTAGCTAGCTTACTCCGAAGTTACTATACTTCAGTTCAAATCTACTTTGAACAAGGAGAAAAGCAACAAGCTTTTTGCTCCCCAGATTATTTCAAGTTCTGTTACACTCAATAGAGAATTTTTCAAGACTTCTAATGTCAATAAGAGATAGATGGCTCTGGTTTCCCATTCCCATCTGCTTCAAATTATTTAAGAAAGCAAACGTATTTTAAATTTGCCACTAACTCTTGTAGATGTTCTCAAATTCTAGATACAATAGAACTGAATATTGTAGGTTATGGGTATTACTTAAGGACTATGTCATGACAGATACATATATGTGTGTGTGTGTGAGTATATATACACATACGCACACACACACAGATATATATATATATACACATATACATATCTATATACATACACACACACAGATACATGCATGCACATTATGTAAGACTTTACAAGAAAGCAAAAATTCTTGGACAGTAGAGATTTTTCAGCTAATACATTGTCTAGATGTTCAGTCTTCTCTCTTCTCTTATATTCTAAAACTGTCACACAATATTCCAACACCAAGTTACAAAGTTCTCAAAATGCCCAGTGAATACCTTGGTAGAACAGAAAAGATGCAAACACAGTTAAAGAGAACTACAAGATTGTCAGCAAACAATGCTCCAATATTTCTTCACCACAAATCTTTGGAATAAAACTTAGATCTTGCCCTTATTCTTAAATGCTAACATTAATTGCCTCTGTAAAGATTATTTAGATTTTGGTCCGTATCTCATCCCATCATTAAGGGCTAGACCTTGTATCTGCAACATAAATGGCTACTGATAGTCACAGTATACACAGGAATTCTGACCCCAAGTAGGGAACTGTTTGGAACCTCAGTAGCTGAATGAAATCACAGATGGAAAGGAAACCCCAAGGGCTAAGTATTATGAATCCCTGTGTCTGTACTTCCATTATATATTTATAGATATTTTGTATATAAAAAGTTACCTTAATGTTTCTGCATCCTAAACATGAATTAGGAAATTAGTGAACAGTCAACAAGTCAAAACAGTCCAAAGTAGGGCAGTGAGCTAGTTTAGTGAGTGGAAGTGTAGCAACCAGGAGAGTTACAGGCCATTCCATTTCTCAGCACATCTTGCAGGGATGGTCCCAAATAACTATACACAGCCATTCTGAATTACTACCTCTTTACCTGCATGAGAGATAGTTTGAAAAGGCAGTCTTTGGAATAGTGCCAGCTCCAACTAGCTAAAAATAAACATTATGCATATACAGCGGGAGGGATGTGTGTGTGTGTGTGTGTGTGTGTGTATGTGTAAGTAAAGTACAGAAAAAAATAATCTAATTTGACCACAACCATCAAACTATCTACAAGATCCAAGCATGAGCCTGATACCTCCATTGTTCATTAAGTAGTACAACCATTGGCTGAAGTGGACCCATGCATCTACTTTTTTTAAATTAGTTGTTTGGAAAGAAGTCCATGCTGACCAAAAAGCCAATCTTTTCATTCAACTGCAATGTGTTGGACAAGTGGGAATTACACCATCTTAATAAAATGGGAAAGGAGAATCTAGGTAGGCATTTTCTCCTTTAGAAGAGAAAGACTAATATTAAAAGGAAGAGGTTCTCACTTTTCCACTCATGACTTACATGGTTGTAAGTATTTCTATGGATCTGCTCAACCCAAAATATTTCTTTTGCAGGTGCCAGACACACGTATACATTATTACATATTTCACCAGGTAAAAGGGCTAGCAACAACAAACAACCAGAATTGCTAACCATTTTTTGTGGATTGCCACAAGCATGCTCCCCGTGGTGCAGAAGGAAAACTTGAAGTCATGCCTGAGTGAGAGAATCCAAGACAGATATCCAGGTGTGTGTAAATGAGTTCTTAGAAACTTGGAGAAAAGGTCCAAAGCTTCAAACAAGCTTTCTTTCAAGTTTTCATTAGGTAATTAAATAGGAAGTCTGAACTATGGCAATATGGTGATGCCTCCAAAGATATACTGTGATCTTGCTCAGGGATTTTGCTTGTCAACCATTATGCAATCATATCAGCAGTTTTCACAGTTCCTTTGTACACGTGATGTGCAATAACCAAATATAAAAATTTAAGGATCAGAACAAAACAATATATATAGATAGATAGATCTATATATACAGATATAGATATCCTTGACAAAGTCCATACCAGCTGAAGCAAGAAAAGTGGTAGGTGTATCCTAGGTATCGCTGCAGAGTGTACTGCCAATTAAGGCCATTGGTACTGATTTAAACAGATCTTGACAGCTCAGTTCTATGAAAAAACAAAACAAAACAGAGCAGATCAAGAAGTTCTTGAGGAGTCTTGATGTATCATTGTATGTAAGGGTGCCTTAAAACAAAAATGACAGAAAGGAACCAAGACAGTAATGTTTTGGCTACCAAACTGGAATTTGGTTTTTCTAGGTCATTAGTTTTCCCTCCAAAATTATTTCAAAAGAAAAGTTAGTGCTACAAATATGCAAGTCCAGAATAGGTTCCCCCCTCCCAAGAAGCAAGTTACGTATATGCTGCTTCTATGCTGTTCACCTGCGAGGAATCCTCTTCCATCTGCTTTGATTTTCATTGGCAATAAACAGGAGCAAAAAATCTCAAGTTCTGAAGTGCTGTAAGCAACTGTTTGTGTCTTAAAGACTTCCCCTGCATCCCTTTTCCTAATCACATGTCTTCTGCCTTTCAGACGGGCAAGGCATTGGAAACAGATGAATGTACAGCTGAGTGCATGACAGCATTTACTGCATGGTGTGTGTATAGAAGTTTACACGTGATCAAACTCTCTTCTTCTGGAAGGTAGCAAGAGACAGGCAGTTGGGTTCCACCTTTCTCCCCATGACGCTATGGTCTAAACTGCATCTGGGTCACACTGTATGTTCCCTGTTATTTAGATGTGCCTCTTCATGTGGAGGGCAAGGTGATCAGACCTTGAAAAACACCTGCAAAGTAAATACAAAAATAAAATCAGTACCAAAGACAATTACATCTTTCAGATTTCATTTCTCATTGTGTACAAGTTCATAATCAGCTGGAAATAAATCCTGCATCATAAAATTGCAGAAATTGTAAAGCACCTGGTATGTATTAAGCATGGTATGAGTAATAAATGGCCACAAATTTCGCTGGCAATTTCAATTCTATTATACCCATTTCAGAATATACCATTTCAGCTCTCATGGTCATGGAAGAACCCTTAAGAAGAAAAATGGGTGAGACAATTTCATAATTCTGAATTGTATGCAGACTGCTGTCTCCAATGTAATTGTTCTAGAATAACTTTAGTCAGTGACAATGGCTGAATAGGGTGGCTGGGGAGAATTGCCCATCTAATCATTGTCTAGCCAGAAGGCAGGACAATAATCAATGGGAAAAAAGCCACATACTTGATTCCATGTATGGAGAAGACACTCTCAGACAGTATGTAGTATTTTAAAGGACCATTATATAATACTGATCTACTCACATCTCCTACTCACCATAAAGCTTGAGCCCACTGTAGTATTTTAAGCAATCTTCTAAGAGCAAAGTGTTCAGAAACCAAACAATAATCTTACTGTATTTCCTATTTCCTCTCCATTCTTCCATGTTAATTGATACTGTAAGAATATACATATGCATATGTATTCAAATCTCAAGCTGATGTCACTCTTAAGAGCTTCACATGACCTAGGATGACCATATTTGGGCTGCAGAAATCCATATGGTCACTAGATGGAACAGAGAGATACGGAAAACTCTAATACTTTGTTGTCATTCAGCAGTCATCTGCATTTTTTCCTCCTAGGTAGGATAGCCCTACTTAAAAGCTCTGTGATGATCTATGTGCTCTTCCTCACTTGTCTCTAACCACAGCACAAACTTTGTCCTGATAACTGCCTTTTTCCCTTCCATGTCCTCCTGGCATTGTTCAAGTCTCAACCCATATCTGAGGCAACTTAAAGTCATCCTTAGCTGTTCCAGCTTTAAAGCATTGCTTTCTCTCTTCTCCCAATACAATTTTTGTAAGGAATACAATCTGGCACACTTCACTGACCATTTGACTGTTGACGTGGTCAGGAGCTGGGATCTGCCCTGCCCCTTTTAGCCGCTTTAAGCTTCTGTGTCACAGCCCTCTGTTTTGGTTCCTTGGCACTGCTCCTACAGCCACTGTGGTTTAAGCTCAGGACAGAATGGACATCTGACTTCCACCTTGTTAATACCTGGTTTGAACTCTCCAACAGCACTTGTCAGGTCTTAGGTCAGCTCCTCCTACATTATGGTTTAGTGATCCCTCTGAAAAGAGCACCAGACTTGTTTTTAAATACAGGTTTAATACTCTTTTGAAGCTCTAGTCCTTTATTGCACAGAAGAGAGATTTAAACTGGGAGAGAGCACTAGGTTCTGCCAGTTGTGTGCTGCTACTTCTGTCTCCATTGGATGCATTGCAGGTTTTCCACTGTTTCTGCTCTCAGAGACGGTTTTGTGTAGTCATATTTTTTACCATTTTTATTATCTCCAAGAACTCAGGTAAGAGCTCTGCAACTATTACCCTAACCAGATAACATTCCCAGGATCAGTCTTATGCAGCCACAGTTTCTACTGCTTTTTGTCATAGCCCCCTTGGTTTGGAGGGAACATGATTTTGTTTACTCCATTTTGGCTTTGGCAGCATCCAATGCCACAGTGATGGCTGTTGTTATTATTTGCAGGGCAATCACAATCACGCTGATCTACAAGTCTGCTCTAACACGCATGTTCTCCATGGCTCTCTAGTGGCTACTTCCAGGTGTTGTTAAGCCAGAAGGTCAGAAGAGACTCCTTGGTCTCTTGCAGCACTAATCAGGAACAGAACAGACTTGCTATCAATCGTTCCCTCCCACTTCACCCTGAAACACCCCCTCCCTCCCTCCCTTTCCCCTCTTTTTTCAAAAGAGCATTATACCCATGTTCAGAAATACCTGATAGACAAGAAGAGGCACAGAGGAAGACTGTAAGGAACACAGAGACAGCTCCCTCATCCTCTACCCTGCTTGAGCACTTGCCATTTGTTGGTCACTTTAACCATCTGCCTAAATTCATCCCAAACCACTTCATTTTGAGGAGAGTGAGTAGTGGTTGTTTTCCCATGAGCAAGTGATGCTTGGTGGAAATGAAGTCAGGGGAATCTACCAATCCATTTCCTTAACTTGGCCTGCAATATGTAGATAAGGACAGCACCACTCATCAGTCTTGTTATTGTGGCAGAATGAAGGTCAGCAAATTTTTATGTCGGCATACTTTTTTTGCCAGCTCAAGAATAGGTGGATAGTGCTTGAACACAGCCGTGAGAAGAGCTCTTCCACTACTGGTTGGTCCTCATAAAGATAATGCCTGATTGTGGAAAGGATATGAGGCTATAATATTCACACCAAATCAACTAAACAAACCAAAAATTTCTACCTTCACTGACAGTGAATCCAAAATAAAGTAATTAATTAGGACTCAGCCATGATGCTTAGTCATGACACAAGTGAATCAGAAATGCTTGTGCGGGAAAAAAGTCAAAGCACACTGAAATGAAGAGTTAGTATGAGCAGCCAAGTATTGTTCACTGCAGTTAAATTTAACTCACAAAATAACATCTTTAATTTTCAACAGTAATGTGTAATCACATCTTCTAAAGAAAAAAAAACCCCTTATGTTTGTGAACTGTATACATATTTCTATTTGCTAAACTCCTGTTAAAATATTTCCTTCCACAAGCTGCTATGTTCCAAGAAGTAACACAACATTAATCCTGACAGAATTGGTATTTAGAACATACCAAGGCCAGCATTGGCTACAGCAACACAGTGTTACTTCTATAAAAACAGTCTTGCTATGTCCCAGTAACGTATCTCATATAGATGTAACTTTTATATTTACTCTGAATATACAGGTGAAACTCGAAAAATTAGAATATCATGCAAATGTTCATTTATGTCAGTAAGGCAACTCAAACGGTGAAACCAATATATGAGATAGACAT